AAAAAAAAAAAAAAAAAAAAGAACGCGATAAGTGACACCCTTCTGAAACTCCAATTCCGTGTACCCCAAAATGACCGTTGGACGAATGGCGTTGAGGTTGTTAGCCTTACGCACCGGCCGCCCTTTACCCCCAGGAAGATTTCTGGTAGGGAGGTGAGAAAGGCATACAAAATTTTGACCCGAAAACCCAATGGCAGAGACCACTGGTGTGGACTCTCTTACGGGGGTTTAATTGGACCGTTCTTTTTTGAAGGAACAGTTTCTGGCTCTGTGTACCTCAAGGTGCGGACATCCATTTACCTGTCATTCATCAGCTCTAAGGGAATGAACCATTTTACTTGAAGCAAGATGGCGCACCACCACACTATCACCGAGACGTCACAAGCCATCTCGATGAAACCCTCCCAGGTCAATGGCCAGGACAAAGACGCAGTGTCGAGTATTCCTCACGCTCATCTGTCGCGGCTTCTACTTGCAGAAAACGATCGACACTGGAGACGTTGCGGGAAGAAATCGAAACGTCGTGTGCTGCTGTCCCAGTGGTTACGTTGCCCACGGTTCCTTGTGCACCAGTTTACAAGCTGATGGTGGCCACTCTGAACACGTTTTCTAGCTCGACACCTGTCCCGACACTGGAGATGTTGCGAGAAGAAATCGAAACGTCGTGTGCCGCTGTCCCAGTGGTTACCTTGCACACGGCTCCTTGTGCACCAGTTTACAAGCTGATGGTGGCCACTCTGAACACGTTTTCTAGCTCGACACCTGTCCCGACACTGGAGATGTTGCGAGAAGAAATCGAAACTTCGTGTGTCGCTGTCCCAGTGGTTACCTTGCCCACGGCTGCTTGTGCACCAGTTTACAAGCTGATGGTGGCCACTCTGAACACGTTTTCTAGCTCGACACCTGTCCCGACACTGGAGATGTTGCGAGAAGAAATCGAAACTTCGTGTGTCGCTGTCCCAGTGGTTACCTTGCCCACGGCTGCTTGTGCACCAGTTTACAAGCTGATGGTGGCCACTCTGAACACGTTTTCTAGCTCGACACCTGTCCCGACACTGGAGATGTTGCGAGAAGAAATCGAAACTTCGTGTGTCGCTGTCCCAGTGGTTACCTTGCCCACGGCTGCTTGTGCACCAGTTTACAAGCTGATGGTGGCCACTCTGAACACGTTTTCTAGCTCGACACCTGTCCCGACACTGGAGATGTTGCGAGAAGAAATCGAAACTTCGTGTGCCGCTGTCCCAGTGGTTACCTTGCCCACGGCTGCTTGTGCACCAGTTTACAAGCTGATGGTGGCCACTCTGAACACGTTTTCTAGCTCGACACCTGTCCCGACACTGGAGATGTTGCGAGAAGAAATCGAAACTTCGTGTGCCGCTGTCCCAGTGGTTACCTTGCCCACGGCTGCTTGTGCACCAGTTTACAAGCTGATGGTGGCCACTCTGAACACGTTTTCTAGCTCGACACCTGTCCCGACACTGGAGATGTTGCGAGAAGAAATCGAAACTTCGTGTGTCGCTGTCCCAGTGGTTACCTTGCCCACGGCTGCTTGTGCACCAGTTTACAAGCTGATGGTGGCCACTCTGAACACGTTTTCTAGCTCGACACCTGTCCCGACACTGGAGATGTTGCGAGAAGAAATCGAAACTTCGTGTGCCGCTGTCCCAGTGGTTACGTTGCCCACGGTTGCTTGTGCACCAGTTTACAAGCTGATGGTGGCCACTCTGAACATTTGTTCTAGCTCAGCAATGTGGTAGCCATCCCTTTCTGCGTGTATGAAACCTGGATTACGAATACATTGTTTATGCAGATAATTTGTACGTTGAACTGTGAATACATTTTTAGGCCACTCTGTACGTGCCATAGCAACTACCACAAATGTCAGGAGACTGAGTCACAGATAGCATTAGCAAATGATACGAGTATAAAGTTAAGGGTGGTATAATTCTAACTTTAGTATCTTGTATTACTGTGTCTGCATCATCTTACAGGATGTGTCGTCATCAAAAAATGACGTACACAGCTGCATCATCATTATAAAGTTACCAGATTCTATTTTCAGCACGATGAGAACCAAAATCGCCATACCGGGGATCTGGAACACACACGATTCTTCTGCCGTGAAACTGCCAACTCAAGGCATGATGCACATTCTGCGAAATTTCGGACGGAGAATACATGCTTTGGTTGGATTATGTGAAGAAGTGATACCCACAGAACTGTATCCAATTAAATTATGAAATCTATCAAACTAAAGGGGCATGCGGTAGCATAGTTGCTTGAGACACTATGTTACAAGCCGGAAGGTCGCGAGTTCGATTCTCGATCTGGTCACTGGATTTCTTCAGTTGACCTAATCCTTCCAGCCACACTATGGCCCTGGGGTCGACTCAGTCTCTAACAAAAATGAGTTCCAGGAATCTTCCTGAGCGTAAAAGGGTGGCAGAAACGTAAGGCTGACAACCACCCACCTTCCTACCCTACAGGTATCGGGTGATCTTCAGCGGGGATAAAGAGGCCGGGACGTGAAGCTGACCACTCACCTCCAACTACTACTCTCCTGTGTGTTTTCAGGACGTGGAACTTAATCAAGCACAGGAAAAATGTACAACTTCAGCAGTGGCAAAACAGCCTTTTTTGTGCCACAGCCTTCCTTAGAAGTTCTGCCACGTTCGTCGTGCATTACACCGCCTGCTTTTCGCTTCTTTGCATTTCGCAACAGTATTTTTTTTACGGAGTACGGTCGTCGGCCTTGCGTCCAATCCCTAACTTGGAGGCTATGTATGTATTTATGTCTTCCAGTGAGAGGGTGGCCCAGTTATAACCCCAGGAACCGGGTTCCCTTTTCCTCGCCTTTTACGACTCACTGGTACTCCGGTGGAGGCATTCCAACCAGCTTCCACAACTTCATGCCAGTGTCACATGAACTCTGACCTCCTGGCCTTACTGGGTTTCTGGACTTTGCCCATCATTCGCACCGTTTCCGAAAGTGCATCTGTTTCCTTCCACAGGTGAAATCGTTGGAATATACCTATTGAGTTGCATTCCTTTACGAATCGGGCTCAACTGCCGGACAACCAAAGTCAGTCAAATCTATGCAAGAGCCAATTTTAGGTTTCTATATTAACACTACAGTGCAATCTTCGCATTACTATCATCAAGGCATGGCTGGACCGACAAATGCGCGAAGCACCAATGCGCGATACCCAGACATGCACACCAACTCCATTAATAACGACGACCAACGTCCTTCGGTAACTCTGAGCAACTGTCAACAATTATGAACTATAAGCAACACTACGCATGCAGTTTTCTGAAACTACAGGATAATTAAAGTTCACTTGGAGCAACTATTGAAGAGCTTCCAACCAACGTTACAGTTGCCCATTCAGACTTAAAACTACAGAGATTTACTTGTCCTACGCAAGAACGGACAGGGCAGACACAGGTAGCTGGGTAGTGGTACATCACGAGGAATGCGGAAAGAAGAAGAAGAAAAAAGGTAACCTTACCAATTTTTAAAACAATTTCATCTTCCACATCTACTGCGAGCATTCTTGCCTAAACTAACTTCATGGAGTTGAGCCCTTCTTAAGACGCAGCCAACTGAGCAGCTACTCAAAAACTTCCCAGCATTTTATGGAACCTGAAGGTTCTTTAACGTGTTCACGAGAGCCCTCCACTGGTCCCCATCCTGGGCCAGATCGATCTAGACCATACTTCCCCATCCTATCTCTCTAAGATCCATTTTAATATTGTCCATCCACCTACATCTTCGTCTTCCTAGTGGGCTCTTTCCTTCTGACTTTCCCGCCAATATCCTACATGCATTCCTCTCCTCCTCCATTCGTGCTACATGCCCTGCTCATCTCACCCTCCTTAAGGGAGCGTTATCCCTACAAATAGCAACCTTTAAATAGTTAAAATTTCAATCATCGCCAAAATGATATTTTGATGTGATACGACATTTTCCCCAGTAACTGCAACACAGGTGGTTCAACGGCTGGTAAGAAGGCGATATGTAGTGGGGAAACCTCTATACACTAGCACTCAATTCTGTCACTTTCGAGACTCGTTTCCAATGTATACTTTGTAGGGAGGTACGTCGTCCTCGCTTTAACACTTCTAATATTTATACTGAACATTCTCACATCACGGCAAGAAAATTTCTTGTGTATATAGACTTACCAATTACCATCTATTTTGTTGGTTATTTCATCAACTGTCTGATGCTCGGCAACTGAATATCCAAAATAAGAACCAGGGACATCACCCAATTTGATAACAGGTAGACGTGATTCGAGATTAAATGTCAACACACTGTCAAAATAAAGTTGCACTAAGGCCACAAACCACAATACCACGTAAGACGCCATTCTTGCAGTACTGAGTTGTCTCATTTACTCTCTTTCTCGACTAAAACTCATGGGTAAATATGACGTGTAGTATCAATTAAAATTATGATACAAAACACCATTACCCAAATTCGAGAGCTCTAACCAACCTTTCCGACCACTAACAACATTCGACTGACCTGAACCCAACAAACTTAAACTGCACTGCTGCCTCCTGTGGTGAATATCGTACATCCGTCAATTAGCCTGTGATCACTTGAACAGAATTACTCGCCACTGCCACATCCGTCGCGATATCTATAGGGAAACTGGTGAACCACGTAGGGATCGGCTTCTCACGTGGGATGCTAATCCCGCCATCTGTATACATCGGCATACATTGTCCTGTAGGTCAATCTGGAGCAGATATCGAAAGCACAATCGGTAAGAATGTTGATTTGCTGTTCTGGGCATATCTGCCCCTTTACCAAACAATAGAATCATATATTTTCGAGCTTAAAATGTTAATGTTAATTCAGGTCTGGAATTTCAAGTTGATAAGGATGAATTAAAACGTTTTTCATAAACATATTTAACCTCACATTATTATTCCACCTTCTTAAGCGTTTCAGGTTAATGTTACACATTTCCTCATCTTGGTCATCTGTTGCTGTTATTAGTATTTGTTAGTAACGTGCTAGGTGTAATTAGCATAGTTCGAAATGAGCCTAACCTAAAGCTATTCCCAACAAAAATCTTAACCTATAATCTTAGTTTAAAAAGGAAATTATATGAGTGTTAGGTTATATTATGTTAGAATCTTTTTACAAATATTATGTTTTTGGACACTATCCATCGTCTTGTCAATCTTTCTAAAAACCGTTTCTTTTTATTATAAGAGTGTTAAGTTATATTAGCTTAGTATCTTTTTACAAGTATTATGTTTCTGGACACTATCCATTGTCTTGTCAATGTTTCTAAAAAAACGTCCTGTTTCTTTTTAAAAACACAACGTTTCAGAGACTGGATTCTGTCCCCGTCCTCAGGAACAACCTACTCAGTTGGGTCCAGTAGATCGACCTAGACAAAACATGTAGCGTCAACAGCAAAATAAATATTGATACAGTGGCGTCTATTTTATTCTTAAGGAATACTGTTGTGTAGACTGTCCCCATTATACACTTTAATATATCCTGAAAGTTTATAGGGTGTGTTAGTTTAATTGATGTAATGGAAGTTTTGTCTTTGGTCTAAGTCAGGTCAGAGCAAGAACATTCATTTTCATGCACCCATGTACCTATCAGCTATCACTCATCTGCGTGGCTTCCCCCATATTTGCCAGTGTTCTCTTGTATTCTGGGCATCAACTGTGTGGCCTGATTTTCTATTGGTTCTGGGGGGAAGTGAATAATGTAGGTATGATGGGGTAACAGGCAAACAACTGTAACCCACCCCATCTGTGTTCATTCTTTCCCTGACCTGAGTGTTGTATGAGTACATCAAATATGAATTTTGTGACAAGTATCTCAATAATGTCACTTGAGAGAAGCCAAAAATATATCTGGTCACTGTTTTGTATGATTATTCCTTAATTTATGTCAATTATTAAAATTAGTAGTGATAAAGTATTTAATGTAATGTACCACAACATATTAAGGATATATCGAGGGACACAATGAGTTTTGAGGTACAATTAAAACAATTTTTATCGTCCATGATATGTATGTATTGACCGTCTTCTAGTGCACACAGTCTCACATGTCACTTCACTACATGTTTCGGCATCCCTGTGCCATCCTCAGGTGCATTATTTACATTAAACTATTGCACTGCTCGCCATCATGTGTCGTTTATAAAATTATTTAAAATGTATATTCTTCATGTACTATAATAAAATTTATATATATTAAAATTTGTTAAGATTTATCATCTTATACGTCTTATTTCAAACTCGCATATTATATTATTCTTCCACCACGGGAGTCGTTCTTCCTATATTTTGTGTATACTGTGTCTTGTGATGTGTCCTTTGGCTGCAATGCACAGAATTTATGGAAGGTGAACAAATGAATAGAAATAGGAAAATAGAAAGCCACTGTATGCAATGTGACCCATCCCTTGAGCACTTAATGTGAGTATTCATGGGACTAATTTAGAACATAAAGTAACTGTTCTCTAATGTACAAGCATAACATTACTCCTCAATTTTAGGTACACCATTAAGGTACTGCCATCAGTTTTAATATGTTCAAATTCAACTTTCATGACCCTGATGAAACAGATGGTAGTGCAGTTTCAGATGGAACCAGACAAGGTTGGTAATTGTGTTGTATCTAGCTGAAAATATGTTAGTGTAATAAGTGAAACTGTGAGACACTTGACACATTGTGTTACTCCAGAAATATTACTCCATTTGTGTTTGACACAGAGGGTAACAATGCAAGCACAGGACCATCGCAGTGGCTGACAGCGAACGAAATATTTCCATCTTCCGAACTCATTGAGCGGTATAAGTCTGTCTGCACATTTCCATGTGGGAAATACCACCTGAAGCATATTCCATTTGATGAAGCTATGAAGGACTTATCTGAGATCACCACAGGGGAATTCATTGCAGAAGCTGAATTACTTCATTCAGATCTTCTTCCAGGAAAGTATGAAGGTTCGTATATTGAATATTTTTAATTTCTGTGAGATCTGAGACTCTCGCAGCAGTAATTATGTAGACTGCTGTCTTAGGGGATATGATACCCTGTAGTCTGATAAGACATCTACCATTTCAGAGGAACCTGCAAAGCCACGCAAGAAGAAACAGACAGAAATGCTCCCATTAATTTGTTTTTCAGAGTAAATCAGATTGAAGGGGTGGGCATTAAAAGATCCTTGATCTGTCACCATCTACAATCTAATATCCCCTTTTCAAGTGAAGCATAATACATTGCTCAGTGGGACCTTCGGATAGCCACTTTGTCAGTCTCCTAACTAGGGCAGAACCTCAGAGTTTATCAAACATATATGACGTTGTTTCATCTCTGTAACAATTCCTTCTTGGTGGAACTATTTAATAGTTCTGATAACTATCCTCTCAAGTGACAGTGTCCTCTTTGATTCACTCTTAGCTCTAGTACTTGTACCTCTTTTTTATATCACTGAGTTCTACTCTTCTGTCCTGGAGACGGAGGCAGTCATTCCTCCAGAATGTCACGTTGAAGTTAAGGTAGAAAGAAACATTTTAATGCCAAGGTGCAGCTTCACTTCCAGGACTGTTCATGTGGAATATGTAGTGGGCAGAGTGCCACCAAAGTAGTTACTTCTTGGAGTTGTTTGCATTTCACTAATGCTCCATGCCTTTCCCATGCCTAAGGTGTGTTGGGCTTGACCGACCAGTATGTATTACAACTGACAGAATAATCTTGGTAATACCACAAATATGGGGGGACACTGTAGTGTAGTTGGTTGAGGCACTATGCTACAAGGCAGAATGTAGGAGGTTTGATGAGATCCCTGAAATTATCAATTGATCTAATCCTTCCAGTCACACTATGGCCCTGGGGTTGACTCGGCCTGTAACAGAAATGAGTACCAGGAATCTTCCTGGGGGTAAAGGGTGGCCGGCGCATAAGGATAACAATCTCACAGCCATCTATAAGCCAATTGTGTAGAAAATGTGGGAGCCTTGACATCTCACAACCCTATGGGCCTCTAATACAAGTATGAATGCAGTCAAAAGGGATTATGTGTTGGCAGGGGGCCTTAAGATCTGGGAGTGCACCAGAGATTTGGCAGACTTTATGATACGTGAAGGAATTGACTTAACTGGCAAACATGTTCTGGACCTTGGCTGTGGAACTGGTCTCTTGGGAATACTGGCCATGCACCTTGGAGCCGAGTCTGTTCATTTCCAAGACTATGTGAGTAAACGTTGTATGGGGATGGGAAGCACACGTAAAATTGCACAAGCATTTATTTTCAAGCATCTAATACAACTTGTCATAATTAAATATTATAAGTAGCACTGTCATCTGGGATATTACACCATGTACTCTGGGAGAGATTCTTCCCAGCATTTCAGAGGAACAGAATGCATCCATCTTCAGAATCAAAAATAAACCAAGGATGCAAGCAGTAAGCAGAGTAAACTGAGCATGAAAAGAAAAACCAATATGGCTCTCTCTGCTTGCCTGGCTTACTTTTCAACCCTGAAGATGGAGGTAGCATGTACCTTCAAAACGTTAGTAGACTTCTACCAGACTACACGGCGTCACATCACAGACGACAGTAATCTTCCCAGCCATTACCATGAGAACCTCAAATGTAAGAAAGTTCATATACTCTGTGAACCATTATAGGGGCTCTTAAATCTTCTGACACATGGAAGTCTGTGCACTGCAAGAGACACTGAACTCGAGTCACTCTCTTTTACAATGGAACACCCTACATTTTGGGAGCCAGGTACAGAGAGAGAGAGAGAGAGAGATACAGACAAGGGTCTTTTTTATATTTCTTGCAAATTTACAGTCTACTCTATAGTAACAATATGAGTAATAAGTAAATGGTTTAAAATTTGAAGGCTTGCGATGGGTACAATTCATTAATGGTTCTCTGTGTGGTTACACATCATCGAGGTCTTCTGGCCAGATTTTCTTCAGTCTTCTTTTTTGTAAGGGTTGGATGAATAGGTCACTTATGAGTTGGTTTACATGCTCTGTTGTTTGGTTTTTGTATTTGTTTATGTTTGACTTAATTACATCTTGCATTAATGGTACTTTGAAGTCTTCATGTAAAGTTTGGTTAGAGACATACCACAGTGTTCCAGATATCATATGGAATGTTTTAGATTGGAATGACTGGAGTATTTTGGTATTTGATGGTTTACTACAAGCCCACAGTTCTATACCATATGCCCAAATTGGTTTGAGTATGTATTTGTAAATGTTTAGTTTATTTTCCAGAGATGATTTGGACTTACGGTTAATAGACAGTACATATTTTTTATTTTTAGATCAGGTTGGCGTCTCTTTGCTTTTATGTGCGTTTTCCAGGTCAGCTTCTCATCTAGGTAGAGTCTGAGGTATCTGACCTCTGTTTTTACTGGTATAGGGTCATTGTTTATGTTGCTTTTTTTTTGTAGTAAATATTATTTGGACTGATTTGTTGGTATTAACACATGTCTTCCATTGTTGTAACCATATATAAAGAGTATCGAGATGGTACTGCAGCTTTTCAGATGCTCTTCTAGGATCTAGATCTGATGTTAGTATGGTATCGTCTGCAAATGTGACAATTAAGATATTGTCAGTTTTTGGTAGGTCAGCAGTAAATATTAAGTAGAGGAATGGTCCAAGCACGCTACCTTGGGGAACTCCTGATTTTATGGGTTTATAATCAGAGAGGTCATCGTCTAATTTCACTTGAAAGTATCGGTCATGTAAATAAGATTTCAAAATAATGTAGAATCGTTCAGGTAAGTACGTATGTTTTTAATTTGTATAGGGGTCCCACATGCCAGACCTTGTCAAAGGCTTGTTGTACGTCTAGAAATACTGAAGCACAGTTCTCTCTTGCTTCAAAACTGGTTTTAATGTTATTGATAATTCGATGGCATTGCTGGATTGTTGAGTGTTTTCTTTGGAACCCAAATTGATGGTCATTTAGTGGTACTGCTTCTTCAGTTCTCTTAAGAAGCCTTTCAAAGATTTTGGACATTATTGGTAGTAGACTTATCGGTCTATAAGAGTTTGTTTCAGTTGGGGGCTACCATTAAGACTTGTGCTAGTTTCCACTGAATAGGATAATATCCAAGTCTTAACATACTATGGTATATAGTGATCAATAAGACTACTGTTTTTTGTGGTAGATTCTTCAGCATGTCTCAGACTATCAAATCATGTCCAGGTGCCTTGCGAGGATTTAATAGTTTTATTTCTTGAAGTACTTCTGTCGGTGAGAAGGCTTTTATTGGAAGTGATAACTGGTAGGGAGCATGTAGGAAGTCTTCAATGACAAGTTAAAGCATGAGTAAGCCCACGCGTGTGGGTTATTTAAGGATGCTTGTGGTATCAAGACTATATGGTGTAGGATGGTAGGATAAATGAATGATGAATTGGAAAGGATTCAGAAGGAAGCAGTCATGTCCTAATCAAGGCACTATCCTGGCATTTGCATGGAAGGACTGAGGAAACCATTAAAAACTTCAGTGACAATAGTAAGGCTCAGATTCAAACCAAACGCCTCCCAAAAACAAGTACAGAGCATACCCTATAGATCAACCTTTTCAGTACTAAGTTTCAAACAGATCTGCTGCCTCCAGCTTCCCAGCAAAAGAGTAGATAACCAACTAACTTCATGGAGCTGAGCCCTTCTTGAAAAGCTGCCAATCACACAGCTACTCAATAACTTCCCAACATTTTATGGAACCCGAAGGTTCATTACTGTGTTCACAAGAGTCCTCCACTGGTCCCTATCCTGAGCCAGATCAATCCAGTCCATACCATCCCATCCTATCTCTCTAAGAACCATTTCAATATTATCACCCACTTATGTCTTAGTCGTCCTAGTGGTCTCTTTCCTTCTGGCTTCCCCTGTATGCATTCCTTTTGTCCCCATTCATCCTCCTTGACTTGATCATTCTAATTATGCTTGGTGAACAGTACAAGTTACGAAGCTCCTCATTATGCATCTTTCTCCAACCTCCTGTCACCTTCAGTCCAAATATTCCCCTCAGCACCCTGTTCTCAAACACCTTCAGTTTATGTTCCTCCCTTAATGTCAGAGACCAAGTTTGACACCCATACAGAACCACAGGCAAAATTATAGTTTTGTATATTCTAATTTTTACGTTTTTAGAAAGCATAAGGGTAGATAGGTACTGAAATGTCAGACATTGGAGAAAGCCAGCTTCAGTTTCGGTTTGTCCACCACAAATCCCATGTGGACTGATCTAGGGTTGCCGCTGTAAAAAGCCAGAGACTAGCTACCTGAAGGACTCTGTCCATTGCCTTAGTTGTGGTTTTCAGGATGAGGAATCTAGGAACCTAGAGAAAAACACCACAACAGAAGTTAACAACATAATTATTACACAGGCAGCCAGATTTCATTATTTTGAAAGTGAAATAAACTAATATGGGAAAATTTACAGAGACATTAATAGAAAAATACAAAATAGTTCTAATGTTATCAAATTATAAAATGAATACAATGGATCCCCAATTTAATGATTTCTTTCATTTAATGCCTAATTTCAAAGATTCCAAGTCAATAACTGCTTTCTTTGTTTCATATTCTCCCCAACTTATTGTTCAAATTCAGTGCTTCCAAAGAAACTTCAAATTGGGGTTTCACTGTATTACAAAACAGACATATGCCAAAACAACAATATATAAATTATATTTTAAGTTGAAATTAACATATAACACTGAAACATGGACCCTCAAAATGATAAATAAAACTAAAATCCCACCACTGGATATGAAATTCTTGAGTAGTCGTGAGGAGGAAACAAGAAAGGACAGAATTAAAAATGAAAAGTTTTAGAGAAGTTGGAATTCAAAATTTGTTAACAGAATTACGAAGCAATTATAATAGTGAGGCCAGGACAGCCCAGCTGGTATAGTGATGGGTTGGATGAACAAGGAATCATGGCTCAACTGCCTATAAGAATAACAGACAATGTCCAGACTGGCTCTGGGGTCAACCCAGCCCCCTATCCAATGGTTACGGGGGACTGTCCCCCCCCCCCCAGGAGGGGAACCCAGGTGGGGCACGAAGCTGACCACTCACCTCTACCTAGTGCCATGGATATCAGTGTGTGGAGCTATACCTCCACTTCCCACCCACCTTCATGGCATGGTGCTTAATTAAGCATAAGGACAATTTCACAATTCATGGGAAGTTATCATGAAAAAATGAAAGCTCTGACAAGAAATTTAAAAGGAGAGATTGTGAGAGGAGACTTAGTGTCCATGGACCTATTGAGTCTCCTGACACATACATGACCCAGATGTATCTGCTATGTCCCTTGAGATCTAAATGCCCCATTCCAGTCCTTTTGTTAAAACCAAACTTGAAGAGGTTACAGCACTGAAAGCACAGAAACTGCATTCCAAAAATATTGCATGCAAACAGTTTAAAATAAAATATGTATGTTTCTAAAACTTCAACAGGTATATACTTTATATAATTCAAATTTTAATGTACAGTCACAGCCTTTGTATAACTGTTCACATGTCTTGCAGAATGCATCAGTCATCAGGGCTGCCACAATACCTAATGTGATGTTGAACACGTCACAGCTGCGGCAGGATGGAACTATGCCTTCTGCTAGATTCTTCTCAGGAGACTGGAAAGATTTTGCTGATCTCTTCAGTACCGAGCTTTTGGCAAATAACAAATATGACTGCATCTTGACTTCTGAAACAATATATAACCCTGACAGCCACCAAAAACTTCTATCTGTATTCAACGCATGCCTTGGGACGTGTGGAGTAATGTATCCTTTGAAGCTTTATTTGTGACATGTTGCTCCTCCTCATAAACCCTCATAACAAAGGACACAGTGTTCCCCCTACCCACACCCCTCATGTTACAAATGTTTGTGTTACATAATTTTCTTAATTATAAAACTTGGCCATAAAATCCATGATAAATTTGCCCCTATGGAAATTTGGGATTAATAATTAAATTTTCTTTACATACAAAGTGCAAAACAACAACTAATTTGTTTTAAATATCTATTGTTAAAAAGTCCTAAACAGAAGTGTATAAAATGTTACTAATGAGTAGGGATCCGATTTTTGTGCCCTAATAATCTCTTAAATATGATACATGGAAAACTTCCAAAATACGGATATAAAAAATTCATACCAACTATTAAAATTGATTTTACATTATTTTAAGACCAACAAATAACATTTAAGTTAATACTATGTAATCACTGAATGATTCACTTGTAATGAAAAGCTATACTTAAAAACAAATCATACAACACAGCCAATTCTTTCATTGCAATTTAAACCAATGGTACTCACATTTAGCTCTCCAAGCTTTCAGATTCTCTTCTGTTGCAGTTCACAATTACTAAATGTTTTAGGTTTTCCATAGTTGGTCGTCTCATGTTGTCTCGTAAGATGTCCTTTTGCAGGAAAAACTACTTTCCATCTCACAGGATCTTAAGGGCGCATGTACAAAAACCGCTATTTGCCCCACTATTAGTGATTTTTTACTTGGCAGCTCAGTGAATTTACTAGCTAAAATTTCTTCAGTTTCACAAATTTGTTCATATCCTGGGTTTTTTAAAGAATGCTGTGTACTTTTTCCTTTACTACTTCACCAACTCTTCCAGGAACTGAATTCAAGTTGGAAACAGTGGTCCTGGAATAACTTAACAATTGATATAAAGTAGTATTGCTACTGCTTGCCTCCAGTGAGGAAATGACAGATGGAAGATGAGAGAAGTGAGCAATATATACTCGTATATAGGAAAGATTAGTTTGTAGTTCTGCATTTTTTTTAGTACATCTTGGGCAATTTGAACTGATGCTGCACTTTTGGGATCAAATGTATTCACAACATTCCTAAATGTTCCTAAATGTTCGGTATAATAACTCACTGCATACAGCCACGTGCCCCAGCACGTTAAAATTCGTTCTGGCAGAAGTGAAACGCTCGGTGCTACTGCTTTAAAGGCTTCTTTTCTATATGGTGCTTTAATAAATACCTTCTTCACAGAAGACACAAACTTTTCAACAGGTGAAAAATTTGCACGAATTGTTTCATTGATTGATTCCCACATAAAATTATCTTGAATCTTATCTGTTTTCAAGTGTAAGATCGTAACACTGCTTCACGTAATTTTTGCATTCATGAGATTCATCCAGCACTTTGCACTGTATATACTTCTATGAAGTTTCTCAGAGTAGGACTGGTTAGTTTCCATACTGGAACATCTGCCGCTAAAAAGGCTTTGCACACGTCAAAGGAGAATTGTTAAAAACTATTATTAGAAAATTCACTAAGCAATTTTTGAACAGGAGCACTTTTCATGGATTAAGTTTTAATATTCTCTTTGTGTGTATTAGCATTTCAATACTGAAGCACTTGAAACCGTTCTTCACAACTGTTTCTCTTCACACTCTTGGCAATAAAGAATTTTGTTATACATAGTTATCATCTCTCCTTTGAACTCCCGCTGATATGGCTGTAATTTAGTTTTCTGACTTACTTTCACTTTCTGTACGACTACAAAACGCTAAACAAACTTAACCATGGACTAGTGACCACTAATATGAATGACCCCCAGCTTCTTGGAAAATATTATGCTTATTCATAAAACAGGAAAAATGTGCATTTATATGCTCCATCAAACCATGTCCAAAATTTAAGAAATGAAGCAATTCATACACATGTCAAAATGAGCAAACTTCTTGGTTGCAAGAAAGAAATATGCATTTGCATTGAAATCTGGTCCCTGCTAATGAGCCTGTTAACCCGTTGCCGTGGTTCGACGTGTATGTTTCGTCAGGGATTTAAATCGTCTGGGGGGGGTTCGACGTGTATGTTTCGTCCAGCTGCACACCTATGTTATAACGCCCATAATAATTGATGGTTTTGCTGTAGATTGTTAGATTTTTCGCTGGCCTGTTGTCAGTAGAACAGAGTATAAATAAGACACGACTTTATCTGTGCCAAGTCATCGTTACATATGCCTGTCTTGCAGCAAAGTTCCTGTGGCTCTGGCGAGCGGTTTCTAAGTTGTACTGTAATGGAAGGCGTGTTTTCTTTGCTATGAAGATATAAACAGCAGAGACGTGATATGTGCTGTGTTTATAATTATCATATTGCCCTGAGATGGCCACACTAACACACTCAATTGCAATTCTTAGAATAGAGCAGACATTTA